AGTTACGAAGTCCACAAAATATTTGATCCTAAGAAAGCCAAGATACCAAAGTTTAGAGTTTGACTCACAAATATTTGAACCAAGTAACCAACAATCGCCGACAATATGTTAACCTCTTGATCACTAGCTTTGAAAATTTCACCCAAAAAGTTTGATCACCACAAGAATTAAAATTTTGATAAGTTCATAATTTGTTCAACAAAAAACAAGGAATTTGAAAGCAAAATAGTTCACAAAATAATCTCTCAATTGTTGTGAATAATGAATGTTTTCACAATGAAATAATGAGTCCTATATATAGAAACCCATGTAAACCTAGTTAAAGACGATATAAAATCCTGAAAGATTACAAAGATACCAAAAAATAGAGTTTTAGCTCTTGATTGAGTCCCATTTTGGAGGAAATAATGTATTTTGAATAGTGGATTGATGAAAAATGTGTAATTAAAAATTAAGAAAAAGTTTGAATTTGCGTATAATATTATTTTATTAAAAAATGTGTGGTTGAAAATGAGTTTTTAGAAGATTGTAACTCAAACAAGGGTTTAATACAATTAGGAAAATTCGCGAAATTGGAAATTAATTAATGAAAGAGAAAGATAAAAATGTATTCCTTCCGTCTCATTTATATATGTTGACTTTTCTTATTTTCTTGTCTCAATTATACAGTCATATTTCTTTATTGCGAATATTTTATTTTGTTCGTTTACTAATATATTCCTATTTAATTTACTAGTTGTAACCAATTTTTTACATTTAATTGAGAAATCATACAAATATAAATAACAGCAGATTAGAAATTATTTTGATAAAAATTACTTTTTTATAACATTAAATAAAATTTCTTGATTGGTATGAAAAAAAGAAAGCCTCATTACAGGAGTTAATTGTTCCAATGGTCATTGAACTTAAATCCATATCTATTATTGGTCACTAAAATTTAAATGTTGAATTTTAGTCACTGAACTTAGGTTCATGTCTTCGATTACTCATTCAAATTTAAAATATTGAGTTTTAGCTACTGAATTTTGAAAAATATTGTACATTTCTCACTGAAATTTGAAAAATATTGTACATTATTCACTGAATTTTGAAAAATGCTGTACATTACTCACTGTAATTTGATATTTTTCAAAATTCAATAGTTATGCTAATGAGTAACGTAGATATATTCCAAAATTCAGTGGCCAAAACTCGACATTTTAAATTCCAGTGAGTAATCCAAGATATGAACCTAAATTCAGTGAGCAATTGAAGACATGAATTTAAGTTCAGTGATCAAAACTCAATATTTTAAACTTTAATGACCAATCAAAGACATGAACATAAGTTTAGTGACCGTTGAAACTAGCACTAGACTTCTTCCCCCCTTTCTCCTTTTGTGCTTCCACCAAGGCTTTTCCCATTACGGAAGGAGTTTATAAGAAGTTGATAAGAGTTGAGGATTAAAAACTTGGAAATTAATGCACTGTTGCATTTGTTGCACGTATTTGCCCCAGTTAAAACTGTTGGTAGCTATCTACCAAACCCTTGTGAGAAGTGATTTGGCTACTCGATTCCTTCAAATTCTGTTCAATTCTCTGAATTTAGGCCATGTTTGATAGTATGGAATTACATAGAAATGGAATTCCAATTCCATCTTTTCCATTTTTTTGTTGTTTGGTAGCACAATTATTTCCATAGAATTCCAACTCTTCATTGTATTGGAAAGTGTGGTTTTCCATGTTTTCATAGTATATGGTGGGAATTGGTTTCCCGACTTCTGTAACAATTTTTTATTTTTATTTTTTTGTAATTGAAACAAATTATAAGAATTATTGTGAAAAAATATTTCTCTTTAATTGACGATTTTCATGTAAAATAAAACCAAACGAATACTCAAAGATAGCTGAATTTTTTGAATTTTTTTTGGCAATCGAAACAAATGTTATTTCTAATACCAGTAAATTTCATCTATTTAATTGATAATTTTTATGTAAAACAAAGTTAAACGAATATAAAAAAATACTTTTATTTCAATGTTTTTCACGTAAAAAAATTATACTAATCAAATACAATAATTTATAATTTCTAAATAATTCATTTTTCTGAAATTCATTTCCAATTCAATTCAATTGAATTCAATATTTGCAATCAAACTTAGCAGAGATGTAAACCCGAAAGCAAGGAAAAATAAAGAAAGCTAAAACCTTTACCTGTACGAACGTTTTTTATTTCTCCGTCTTCTTTGTCGATGTTTTGCAATCATACGTTTGTTATACTCTGTTTTGAGTTTTAAATTTGACGGTAGTTATTGTATTTTGTTTCTTATATCTTTTCTTTGATTTGTAGCATTTTCTTCTGCTGATTGAAATTTTTTCTTAGGCTTAGTTTTCCGAGGCATTTGATTTCATACCACATCATTATATTATGTACAGTGAAATCTTTCGCATTAGGGTTGAGATCGAATGCTCATTTGGCAGATTTATGAGAAAAGAAAAACCCCTCTTTTTTAAAATCGAGTTGGTTTTGTTTTGGGATTTTAATACTATAAGATAATTCAATATGTTGGTCATCTCAACATTGCAATAAACATTGTGTTTTGACTTTTTAGGGCTTTGAGAACTGGTTGACGGATGAGGGTAGATCTCCAAGTCATGGTAATGGAAGTTAACTACATCCATTGGAAAGGTACACTGTTTTTACACCACCTGTTAGTAATTATAATGGGAAATTAGAGCTAACTGGATCATCAGATTTTCCTCCCTTAGGACCTAGTTGTTCAGCAGAGTTAGGTCATCTTAGTCATGGGATGTTGTCGGATTCAAGCCGATTTAGACAGGATGTTAACATAATGCCTGACAGCCCACCTGCTCGCTCGGAGGTTTTTTCTCTTCCCGGATATTAGCTTTTATAGCGATCAAGGTGGTGTTGGTGGAATGGATGGGCCCTTATTTATCGATGAGACNAGATCTATATTCGAAAGGAGAATCCAAAATAGGGATATTGTTGAAAACTCATTTGATACTCTTGACGGTGTTGAACTGTTTGAGATTGTTAATCTCTCATTAGATGAGTCAGAGTTGAAGGGTGTCATTGTTAATGAAAATGAAAAGAAAAAATTGATGCTGAAGAAAATGAAGTTTGAACAATTAATGATTAGGATAAAGTGCATTAATATTTTATTTTATTTTATTTTTATTATTCTGCTTCTGTATTAATTTTTTTAGTACTAATAAATTTATGTTGAATTTTATAACACGTATAGATGTATCCTAATTTTTTCAAAAAAGTCGCATCGACGTATTCGTATTGTATCGTATTCAAATTATGTATTTGTATCCGTGCTTCTTAGCTTACCGGTTCAACTAGTACTCATCGATCTGACAACACGATGACTTTATTCTTTGACCGGTCTAATAGTTGGGACGAGTTTAAAAACTATGCTTCAAACTACCCTTTTTGCATGCGTGCAGTCCACATGAATCTTCAAGCTCTGATACCAAACTGATGATAAATATGGTAGTTTACACTAACTAAAGTGGTAACCAGGTTTAAACAAACCTAATTTAAGTAGGTAACCGAGGAAATAAACTTAATATGTACAAAAATTGGAATTTAAGAAATCCTAATTAATTTAATTTCTTTTATGCTTCATGTAGACTTTAAACACTGCATCAGGTTTCATTTCGGAAAAGGAAATGTGGCCAATAGTTCTAGCCAACTAATAAAATGAGAAACATCCATAGAATATTGAAAAAGTAAGGTTCCTTTATTTTTGAAATTTGTATGATTGTATTTTGCTGTTACAATATACGAGGAATATGTTGAATGAGATGAAGAGGAAAAAAAAATTATAATTGTGATTGCAGTCGATAAAAGTAATGGTAAATGCTCTTAATATGAATAGTAAAACTAATGATCTTCTCTTGTATTTTGCTGTTACAATATACGAGGAATATGTTGAATGCTTTTTTGATAAAAGAGTTAAGTACTAATTTTGACAAAGTAATGTGCATATGAGATACATCACATAGATTGTTGGATTGCCTTCGATACTAGAAAAATAACCCAAGCGGTCTAACCCCTAAATGGACCCCAACTGAAAGGCATTAGATGGACTAACGGCAAGCGAGATAAAGAAAGCCGCTGGCCCTGTGCGTAAAAACTTGCCGTGGGCACCTCTTTCTCAAATTAGAATAAAAAGAGTCTTTGGGCAAGAAAGAAAGAAACTGGGAGCATCTTATAGGTCTTCTTTTCGTGGAATGGGTGGGAAAAATTTAGTGTTCTGATGTGAAAGGATGATAATGCAATAATGGTGTCATCCATCTACAGATGCTTCTTGTTTGTTCATTCGTGTGACATTTTCTTATAAGATCATGTTTTATTGGGAAACCTCTTAGATGTTATTTCCTTATTAAATTTTGAATAATCGGTAGTTTCTCGTTTGATTGTATGTTTTAATTTATAGGTTGATGAATATAGATAGCAGATATTACTGCAACAACATATGTATTTTTTAATTATTTTATATTTTAGTATGATTTTCGATATCCATATGATACTTCATGATTCACATGCACCTTTACTACAAAACATTGCTTTGAAATTTCTTGTGTAGTCTTCTTCTTCTTTTAGTGCACAATAAAATTAGAGTATGCAATCTTTTACGCACTTTACGAGAAGGAATAAAATAGCTCTACAATGAGCTAAAGAATTGATTTTCATTCATAGCAATCTGCTTCCTTTATCAAGAAAATTAGATCTATATTCGAAAGGAGAATCCAAAATAGGGATATTGTTGAAAACTCATTTGATACTCTTGACGGTGTTGAACTGTTTGATATTGTTAATCTCTCATTAGATGAGTCAGAGTTGAAGGGTGTCATTGTTAATGAAAATGAAAAGAAAAAATTGACGTTGAAGAAAATGAAGTTTGAACAATTAATGATTAGGATAAAGTGCATTAATATTTTATTTTATTTTTATTATTCTGCTTCTGTATTAATTTTTTTAGTACTAATAAATTTATGTTGAATTTTATAACACGTATAGATGTATCCTAATTTTTTCAAAAAAGTCGCATCGACGTATTCGTATTGTATCGTATTCAAATTATGTATTTGTATCCGTGCTTCTTAGCTTACCGGTTCAACTAGTACTCATCGATCTGACAACACGATGACTTTATTCTTTGACCGGTCTAATAGTTGGGACGAGTTTAAAAACTATGCTTCAAACTACCCTTTTTGCATGCGTGCAGTCCACATGAATCTTCAAGCTCTGATACCAAACTGATGATAAATATGGTAGTTTACACTAACTAAAGTGGTAACCAGGTTTAAACAAACCTAATTTAAGTAGGTAACCGAGGAAATAAACTTAATATGTACAAAAATTGGAATTTAAGAAATCCTAATTAATTTAATTTCTTTTATGCTTCATGTAGACTTTAAACACTGCATCAGGTTTCATTTCGGAAAAGGAAATGTGGCCAATAGTTCTAGCCAACTAATAAAATGAGAAACATCCATAGAATATTGAAAAAGGAGGTTCCTTTATATTTTGAATTTGTATGATTGTATTTTGCTGTTACAATATACGAGGAATATGTTGAATGCTTTTTTGATAAAAGAGTTAAGTACTAATTTTGACAAAGTAATGTGCATATGAGATACATCACATAGATTGTTGGATTGCCTTCGATACTAGAAAAATAACCCAAGCGGTCTAACCCCTAAATGGACCCCAACTGAAAGGCATTAGATGGACTAACGGCAAGCGAGATAAAGAAAGCCGCTGGCCCTGTGCGTAAAAACTTGCCGTGGGCACCTCTTTCTCAAATTAGAATAAAAAGAGTCTTTGGGCAAGAAAGAAAGAAACTGGGAGCATCTTATAGGTCTTCTTTTCGTGGAATGGGTGGGAAAAATTTAGTGTTCTGATGTGAAAGGATGATAATGCAATAATGGTGTCATCCATCTACAGATGCTTCTTGTTTGTTCATTCGTGTGACATTTTCTTATAAGATCATGTTTTATTGGGAAACCTCTTAGATGTTATTTCCTTATTAAATTTTGAATAATCGGTAGTTTCTCGTTTGATTGTATGTTTTAATTTATAGGTTGATGAATATAGATAGCAGATATTACTGCAACAACATATACCTGGTTCCCTCTTAACTGAGGATATGGGCATCTAGATATAAGTAAAACTGACCCGTGTTCTAGAAAATGAAAAAATAATAAATAAATAACCTAATAAGTAATTAAATACAACTTCTCTCTCTTACATTCAATTCATTCTCCTCTCTCACTAGTCTATTCCAAAGACGAGAAAATTTCTCTTTCATTTCTAATGGCGCCACCCACTAGCTATGCCGCACTCCGTCGGGCTCTCCGTTGGGCGATCTTCATATGTCACACCACACGTTTTTCCCTCCGGCGCAAATCATTTAAGTTTTCAAGGTAATTTCTCAACTTGTGTATTTTAATTTTAGGGTTAATCTCAGAATTTTAGGTTTTTTAATTTATGATTTTTAGTGTTAATTTCTAAACTCGTGTATTTCAGTTTATGTTTTATACAATTAGGGTTAATTTCTGAGTTTTGGTTTATTTAATTTCATAGCTGTATAACGTCTTCTTCATTATTTATTTGTTTATTTATTTGCTTTTATCTCTATATTTTCTCTCTTCATTCTTTCTTTTTTCTTACCGTTGCAGCTAAATCGATTGTGCTATTTACAAGCAAAAAAGATTTTCCACTCTTATTTGGGCCCAAGTCCAAACTGATTTAATTAAAAAGAACTGACCCAAGTTTGTTCGGCTTCACTTTAAGGGTGGGTTTGGGTCAGTTTGAAATACTAAAGCCGAACCAACTTGTCTCATGCCCATCTGCTTAACGACTGCATATAACACAAAAACCTTACTGATTATGTGCTGCATATTTTGTTTGTTTCAAAAATAAAGTAAATAAAATGTTACTTCCTTTGTCCCACTGTAATTGTCAGTCACATTTGTAATTGAAAATACTAAATGAAACAACATAAAAAGTCAAGTTTCCCCTGGAAAAGTTAACTACATTTTCTTCAGTAATGGGTAATGTGGGGCTGGGGCATTTTGATTTCGTTTTTAATCTCCTGGACCCATAAAACAAATGGCCTGAGATTTCTTTAAGCACTTACCGAAACTAATTACCTGCCTACGTAAATATGCTCTGGGAATAGGTATTAAAGACTCATTTGTTTCTGGTATAAAATGTGATGCTCTAAGGGGTAAGCATCATTAGATCATAATATAAAATTTATAAACACTGAAATTTGAGATGATAGATTGGTATTCTCTAATTAATTAAAGATTTTAATGGGGTTCCAGTTAACTGCAAGTGAAATAAAGAAAGCAGACAGCCTTTGGCTCAAGACCTTGCTGTAGGAAAGTTTTCTAAATCAAGTGCTAACAGATAAGAGCTGATTGCTGGAAATGACTTGGTTTAAGGAATCTGTGGGAGAAGGGTTTAGGATGAGGCTATGGTAGAATAGAGTGGACAGGGATGGAGCCCCTTGGCCCTGTCCCTGTTGAGGGGGAGGGTCTACTCTGCTGGACTGGACAGAAATGCCCATCCATGTGCAAACCTATTAACCAACAGCCTAGGCCAATTTAAAAATGGCCAAAGTCCGCAATCTCATCTCTGCAGAATTCTGCAGGTGTGCCAGAGTTGCGCTTCATCAAAATTTTTCCTTCTATGTCAGCAGCCTCTTCAATCAAATTCCTTCTAACACGTAACATAATTCCCTTGCAAAAAGTTCGACACACATTTTCTAATTTACTCTACAGTTTCTTGTCTATGTTTCTCCGATAAACTTCCTTTTGCATTTTTTGTTAAAATTCATATTTCTCTTTTTATACTTTTAAGATTGTAGAATTTTGAAATATAGTTGTTGATTTGTTCTTGTATGCTGTGGGAAAAATATTTTATTTGTGTGTTTTTTGAATAGTATTTGTACTTATGTCTCCATTTTAAGTTTCAGCGACACCTGTTTCATTTCATTAGAATCTATTATGATATATGTTTGTTTGCTTGTATAAAAGGTATGGCAGTGGGCTTATTTTGTAGAAGCTACTGTATAAAATAATTAGAGTAGCAGAAAGTTATTATTATTATTATTATTATTTTTTTTTTCAAACTTTGACAAATAAGACAGATTAGTGCAATTCTGATGGACTCTATTAGCAATGATTGCAATTTGTTTATGTCCACAATAGGCTCAATTGAGTTAATTCATGTTATAATTTGGTGTTTATGCAGTGCATTGGTGGTAAAAGTAAAATTGTATTGCATTGTCAGTTCAACTGCATAGCAATAGTGCACACAATAAAATAATTCCTTGCTTTGTCCCTGAGAGTGGAGCCAAGGAGCTGAGTCTTGGAAGCTAAGTCCAAGGACAGTGTCAAACTTAAAAGTTGTGAATGTGCATAAGCTTAAATTGAATGCTGCTTAAGAAACCTAGTTAATTGACTGTTTGTTGCCAAAACTCGTTTGACACAGTTTTTGACCAACTGGGTTACATTAGACGACATGTCCCTGTAAATAATATGGAATAATTTTAAA